AGACCCCTCCTGCCCTGCGCTTGTCTTTGGAGCCCGTCCCTCGGGCCCCTCGCCCGCCCAGCCTGGAGGCAGGCTCCAGGGCATCCATGCCTGGCCAAGCTGGGGGGCGTGGGGTGACCTCAGGGAGTTCCTGTCCACATGCATTAAGGCAACGACTTTGTAAAAGCCAGGCGGAGTTGGCATGGGGTGTATGGGGGAGTGCACGCACCGCCTGGCAGCCCCGGGGACCGGCCCCTCCTCACTGGCACCTGGCCGAGAGTCAGATGCTGGGACCTCTCAGGACAAGCCACTGGCCAGACCCAGTGTCCTCGGCCAGCCAGAGCCACCACAGCAAGTGTCCAAGGCCAGAGTGCACTCAACCCCACCCCACGAATGCCTTTTCAAACAGAACAGGGCCCTCCCTCCCAAGCGGCCCCTTCCAGTCCCTCCTCCTCCGCCATCTCCAACAACCTCCCCTGTGACATCACCTCTCCCGGGGTCAGTTCCACCCTTACAAGACAGCAGAGTTGGGCAAACCGGGACCTTCACCAGCCCACGCTCCCGGGGTCACGGAAAGCCTCTCAGTGTGCTCAGCTTCTCCAGGCCTCCCTTGGCCCCAGAGTCCGTCATCCCAGTTCCTTCAGGAAGCCCTCCCCCGACCCCAGCTGTCTCTCCTGCTCCTTGGCACTGTGCTGGGGCTGAAGTGGAGCCTGCGCCCCTGGATGGGAACATGGGATGGCTGGCCTGGCACAGCCACACAGGCCCCCCCGGGCAGCCCCCAAGTGTCCTGCCCAGGCCTCTTCACCCCACCCTCATGCCCTGGACATGTGGCCTGGGAGCTCTGCGTGGGTGCGGGAGGCACTGGACGGGGTCAGGGGACACCCGGGCACTGAGCGCCCACAGCTCAGAGCTCAGCCCCTGGCCAGGCACCCTCCACGCAGACCCCGCCTTCTGAGTGCCCCTCCCACCCCACGTGTGGTTCAAGGGTTTGTGCCACTGGGGCTGGGTGGTGTCAGCTGTGACCTTCCCAGCGCCCCCGGCCTCCGCTCTGTAGCATTCACAGCTCAGGGCAGTGGGGACAACACGGGCATTTCTGCAAAGCTCTGCCAGTTCCTTCAGCTCCTTGGCTTCTGGGAAACAACCAGAAATAGCTCAGGGCCCAGCTCTTTCCAGAGAGAAATGGGGGGTCCTTTACAGGGTCCCTGACTGTGGGGACCAAGCCCAGCTGGAGTCTTCGTCCCCTTCTCTCCAGCAGCAGGGTCTGGAGCCTAGAAACACGGAGACCCCCAGCCTGACGGGAGTGGGGTCGTCTTGACGCAGTCAACGTTAAAACGCATGGGCACTGGCTGCAGCTCCCCTCTGGGCGGGGCCCAGGGCGATGAGACCCACAGCTCCGACAGTGCCCCCTGGAGAAGCCCTCACAGTGCCTGAGGCGACTGCAGCCTCCAAGTGGGGGCTGGAGATGAGGCCCCCAAAAGGGAGGAACATGGCTGAGGGGCAGCGTGTCCTCCGGTGGGGCGTGTCAGGCACCTGCCGCGCTCGGACCTGTGTGCGGGAGGCGTGGGAGGGGCCTCTCCCAGGGTGTCCCAGCTGTGGTGGCAGCCGGAAGATTCACGGACTGTGATTTTACGCAGACAAGAGAGGGAGAAGCTGGGCCGGCCAGGGAACCTTGAGGGGCGGCAGCACCTGCCAGGGCCGGGGCCTGGGATTCAAGGCTGGGCCACACTTTCCAGGAAGGAATGGGGAGTGGCCAGCACCTCCAGGGCAGACCAAATGCAGGACCCACCCAGAAACCCATACGGAAGCCAGGCGTCTTGGCTTCCAGCAGAATCCCTCCTCTGGATAGCCGCCAGGCTGTGGGGGGACAGGCAGTGTGAGACCCTGATTGGCCCCTGCCTGGACCTCTGCCACTGCGGGCCAGGAGCTCAGACAGTGGGACTGCCGACCACAGGACCCCAAAACCACAGTGACTCCTTCTGACTCCTCCCTGGGCAGCTTAAACCCAGCAGGGTCAAAGAGAAAGACCAGAGACAGAAGGGCAGGGAGTGTGCACACACGTGTGTGAGAGTGAGTGCGTATGTGTGCCCTGTGTGTGTGCCGTGTGGTCTGTGTGCTTGAGTGTGCACGTGCACTGCATGGTCTGTGCACACGTGTGTGTGCTGTCTGGTCTGTGCATGTGTGTATATGTGTGTACTGTGTGTGGTCTGTACATGTGTGTGCTGTGTGATCTGTCTAATGTGTGTGCACAGATGTGGGTGTGTGCATGTGTGGTCTGTGACCGTGTGTGTGCATATGTCAGCATGTGTAAGCGTGCATGTGTATACCTGTACACAGGCATGTCTGTGCATGTATGCACTGTGCATGGTCTGTACAAGTGGGTGCACATGTGTGCTATGTGATCTGTGCAAGTACATGTACATGTAAGCATGCATGTGTATGCCTGTATGCAGGCATGGGTGAGCACGTGTGTGCTGTGCGTGGTCTCCTATGTGCATGTGTGTAAGTATGTGTGTGCATGCCTGTATGCATGCTTGTGTACATGGGTGTGTCCTGTATGCTTTTGTGCATGTGTGGTCTATCAGGGTCTTGTGTGTGTAAGCATGCATGTGTATGCCTGTGTGCAGATATGTGTGTACACATGTGTAGACGTGTGTGTATGCCTGTATGCATGCATGTGTGCACATGTGAGTGCTGTGCGTGGTCTGTACACGTTTGTGTGTGCGTGTTAGCACGCATGTGTATGCCTGCAAGCAGGTGTGTGTAAGCCAATGGCATGTGAAGATGTGCAACCTAACAAACATCGTGGGAGCTCTTTGCCATGAGGTGGCACTGGCCCTTGGCCACGTTTGGTCACACAGACCCCCGAGCAGCATCGCACCACCTCCAGCCTCCTTCCTGCTGCACTTCTCCGAGGTGGGGCCCGGGCAGCGGGTGGCTCCCCTGCTCAGACTAGAGTCCGGGGGAGCCCAAGACAGAGCGTCTACCCTGTTGTCTCCCAAAAACAGGGCCCTTAACCAATCCAGGACATGCACCCTCCATCTTCCCAGGACCCAGAGACTTTCCAGGGGACGCGCCACGTGCTCCTTGCTGGACGAGTCTAGCCCCAGTCCCTCCTGCTGGGCAGCAGGCTTCTGGGAGGGAAGGGATGGACCTGTCCTCCCCTGCTACAGAACCCCCACCTGTGCCCAGGTGCTCATGCCTCCGAGGTTTTGCGGAGGAAAGAGCAGGTAGGCCATGCCTGGGAGGGGCACACAGCACAGCCTCCCTCAGCCCCAGGTCTCCCTTCTCCAGGGTGCTGGAGCCCTGGTGGCTGAGACAGAACTGGAGGTGTGGGGAACAGTGGCTGGGGCTGGGGCTGCGTGGGGTAGGACACACTCATACGCCTGCCTGTGGGCCCCGCTGCGGATTCCCTGTCCCACGACAGGAAGGCAAAGGGACATGGACCCAGGACTCTAATCAGCCAGTGGGAGATGGCAAGGGCACCACCCGGGGAAACGCAGCCACGGTCTCACCAGAGGGGACACAGGGCCTGAGGCCTCACACACGCTGCCTTTGGGAACAGAGCAGACAGCCCATGGGAACCTGGACAGTGGCTTCTGAGTCCTCCCAGTTGGCACCTCTTTGGGATGGGCAGATGCACCCAGACAGTGGGGCCTGGGAGTGTCCTGGCCGGGCTGGGGTAGGCACAGAGGCCAGGGCAGCAGCCCCCATGATGGACGCCAGATATGGTTCCCCAAAGACTCAGCACCGGGACCCCCACCTGCCAGGGGCGTACGACCTTCAGATGCTTCTAAGTCCTTCCCCTCAGGACGGGGTCCCTGGCTGACCTCAGGGCCCCAGGACCTCCCAGCCCAGCCAACTGACCTTAAAACAAAGGTGGAGGAGGAGCATGCCAGCGCCCCTCCGCACCTGCTCTTTGTGGTATTTCTGCTACAACTCCAGCCCTGCTCACTCCCAGGGAGCCCAGGCCCTCCTGTGACGCCATCACCCCAGATGCCAGATGCTCCTGGGCTCAGGTGCTGAAGCCTGGAGCTAAGGGCCCGCTCCACCTCTCAGTGGCTGCCTCCAGGGCCACAGTGCCCACAACTGGAGGGACATGGGATGGTGCGTCCCTGAGACCCAAGACGCCAAGAGGCCCCACTAAGGGACTGGTCAGTGGAGGAGAAGGGGCAGGCAGCTCCAGGGGGCAGGAGAGCCAAGGAGGGCCCTCAGCTGGCAGAGGCAGAAGTGGCTTCGTCCAGGAAGGCAGGGAGGGAGGCCTGTGCTGGCCATGTGGGCGTCCAGTGGGTGTGGAGGCTTTCCCGGCCTGTGGCGTCAAGGCCCTGCCCTGCCCAGGTCTGTCGGGGCATTGGTGGGCACAGGCGAGGTGGGGCCCTGGCGAAGGACCATGAGGCCTGCTCAGCAGGCAGCACCCGGCCAGGGCAGTCAGGAGAGAGGAGAGGAGTTGGGGTCCTGGCCCTCAGGTCTCCAAGACTGGGGTGCTGCTGGCTCTCACATGCCCCGGGAGAGCCCAGGGTGAGGTGACAGGAGCCCCCAGGGCCCCCTTTCCGAAGACGCTGCTTTATAGGAGGGCCGAGCTCAGAGGGTGAAATGTCCACTCTGGGCTCCAGTTTGTTCCCAGGCCCCACCCATTCCTCAGCTGCGGGCAACGGCCTCCAGCTCAGGGCTGGCTCCCATCAAAAGACCCTCAGATCCCAGAAGGTGCAGGGAGAAGGGAGAAGACAGCGACCAGAAGCTTTTTTGTTGGGCTCCCCAAGGTGGGGGACAGGAAAGACTGCAGGTGTGAGGGCTGGCCACACCCACCTGCAGCTGACCAGAAACCCCGCCAGGCCCCATGGCCCACAGGCCCTCGTGGGGCCTGCCCCCCAGGCTCTGCTCCCTGAGCCCACCTCCCGCCCTGGCACCCCCGGCCTGCCGCCACGCCCGCCACACCCTGTCATCCCTCCTGCCCTCCTCACGCCAGCGACGAAGTCCACTGCAGCCCTGAGCCGAGCGGACAGGGCGGCCTCGCTGCTCCACGCTGCTCCAGAGCCACGGGGCCCTGCCCGGCCCTCCAGCCCCTGTTGGAAAATAGCTTTTGTAAAAGGTCACTGTCAGGAGCCCCGTCCTTCAGCCCACACGGGCCCCTCCAGGGCCTACTTCCCCGCCACACCCAGTTAATATAAGAAAAGGGCCCCAGCGGGTTCCCGCCTCAAAACCTCAGAGGCAGGGCGCTGGGGGGCCTCACTTCCTGGGCCCGGCCCAGCCCACGTCACCAAAGGGGCCCTCGCCGGTGGCGGAGCGTGGCGGGGGCCCGCACGGGGTGCAGAGGTCCGAATCGGTGTCCGACTCGCCCTCCGCGATGTAGGGCCTGACTTTGGCACAGGGCGCCACAGCCGCGTAGCAGCTATTGAGAGCGTCCAGGTTCTCCTTGGACTGGGAGATGCTGAAGCCGCTGAAGGAGCGCTCCAGCTCCTCGTGGTCCACGGACGGGATGGAGATGGACGTGTCGCTGTCCCGCAGGGCCCCCTCGGGGGGCCGGCAGCCCGGGGCGTCCTCCTGCCGCAGGAACTCCGTGCTGGCGCGGTTGCCCCCGCCGTAGGCAGACAGGGACCGCTCGTGGGTGGGCGGCGGCGGGATGCGCACCAGGGAGCCGTGATCCCCCACGGGGGAGGTGCCGTGGCCCGGGCGTGGGTGGCTCTGCGGCTGCCAGGACGTGGAGGGCGGGCACTGGGCGGGGGGCACGGCCGGGGGCGCCGAGAAGTTCTTCTGGCCGGTGGAGCTGCTGGAGCGCACGATCTTGACGATGCAGCCGTGCCTGTCCACGTGCTCCCTGCTGTCTTCCGGGCTGTGGTACGGCGGCGCTGGCTCCGGCTCCTTGGCCCCGAAATAGGCCTCAGTCTCCGTCGGGGGGATGCCCATGCGCTGCATGTAGATGTTAACCAGGAAGTCCAGCTTCTTCTCCATGGACAAGACCTGCAAGACGGGCGGCTGGGCTGCGCTGCTGGGGCCAGTCCCAGGAGAGGGAGCACCCGGGCTGCTCTCAGGAAACGAGGGGCCCGGGCTGCTCCCAGGAGATAGGGGAACCCAGCCTGGTCCCAGGAAACGGGGGAACCCAGGCTAGTCCCAGAAGATTCAGGAACTGATGCTGCTCCCAGGAAACGGGAGACCAGGGCTGGTCCCAGGAGGTGGGGGGACCTGAGCTACTCCCAGGAAATGGGGGACCCAGGCTGATCCTAGGAGATGGGGGGACACGGGCTGCTCTCTGGAAAGGTGCGGGGGGAGGGGGGAGGGGGACCCCAGCTTCCTGGAAGCTGGAGGAGCCAGAGAGGAGGCACAGGAGCAGCTCCTGCTCCTTCCCAGACCCCCGGGGCTCAGCCTCCGGCTCCACCCGGACCTGTGTTCAGAGCCAGGCCCTCCTGCTGCCCACCAGGGAACCCCCTTCAGTGAAAACCCCACCGGGCAGGACCTGACGGTTCCTCACTCACTGCTCAGGCCCAGCTCTCAGAGGCAAACCCCGAGACAAGCGTCCTGAGTGGTGGCTTCTGGGAATGCACCCCCAGTAGAGAACTGCTGGGGTGGTGGGCAAGGAGGACAGAGAGGAGGAAGGCCGGGCAGGTGCAACGAGACCCCGAGGACCCGCCTCCTGGTGACCCCCACCCACCAGCA